GTTTAAGTCGCCATAATAGGGATAATACGGATTCCTCATCATGGAGACTTAAATTAAACCCTTGACAAGAACCGAGGAGCCCTGACACTCCAACCCAATCTCTGGCTTTGCCTTCTACCTGTACCTTAACCCCGAATAACCTACCTTTCAAGGAATCTAGTTCCTCTTCTTTGCGTTAACCAATTAAAAAATGCGTAGCAGTTAGGATCCAGAAATGTAGCCCAAAACAGGAACTACCATAAAGACCATAGGTAGACCATTGTTCGGCCTGGGGTTGGGGGGCTAAGGGATGCAAGGGTTTCGGATTTGGGTGTTCACATCGCTTGTCTTCCTAAAGGGTTTAAAGACTTTAATCTAAAACTCCGCCGGCTGCAATCGACAGCCACTCATCTCACATCCTCCCCGGTGCTGCAAAGCCCCAGGTGCACTCTCTCGCTTCACGACTTAGGCTTCAGGAAAGCAGGTTCAGGGCCATACTAGGTAGGGTAGAAGCCAGAAAGTTGGAATATCATTGTCGTATCCCCCTTAAAGTAAATTATAGGGGATCCTACCATTAATCCATATTCCAACTTTCTGGAGTTCCCTTTATAGGGGCCCAAAAAAGATATTCCTGTACTAGTTTGGGTGTTCCTGACTATTATTACAATGGGTCCCCCAAACCCCATTCGAATTGTCAAGGCCCCTCCATTTATAACCCTACATAAACTCTTAGCCCCGCTCCCTCTCATAACTGTAGAATTATAAAGCAGACACCCTATTACTTATATCCCGTATTCTAACTGAGGTCCTCCCTCATATAGGTAAAACTCGTCTTGGGAGCACGTTCAACTATACATCCTCCCCAAAGATATAGGTTTAGGGTCTCCTAGCGTCACTTACATGGGTTCCAGGGTTTGGGGTTCTGGGGTTTCCAAAACTTTTTCGGGTTTCGGGCTCGAGGTCTTGTGGTTTCAAGGCTTTGGGATTAGCGTTTCTGTTTCTGCCAGGACATCCGTTCCTTCTCTGTCCCTCAACAGAGGATTCTTGCGATTCAATCAGCGGGACGCTATCTTAGGGTTCAGGGTTCTGACGGTTCAGGGTCTTTAGGGTTCCTGGGCTTGTGCACCACTTTACACGGTCTTGGAAATAGCGCTTTCCATGGAGTTGAGTGCAAGGGGGCTCACCAGGAAGGGTCATCCGACGAGGTGGCATGAATAGTCTGCGAAACGCAAGCCACGCAAACCCCTGATTTACAGAACCCCCCCTCCCCTAATGGGATCATTGTGAGCTGTTACAGTGGAACGGCGATTCATGCACAAGTGGTGCTCATTGTCTTGCTCAAGAGTCCTACATGGAAGGGTATCAAACAAGGGGTTCCTTGTTTAAAGGATCCTTCGAATAATGCTCCTACTATATGTTCTATGAATAGGGTCGATTAGAGCCCAGTTAAGGTGGCGTTAATACGGCTCTACGCCATTAACAAAACAACATACGCTACACCCCAACTAACTCTACGAATGAACAACTGTCCCGACTCCACAAGCCTGAACCGCCAACCCCAACAGGCCAGAATCATCAGCAGCATTGTATTCTTCAGGGCTCGCTATTACCGTGACAAGTGTACCATACTATACAGCAGTACCCTACTTTAAATGGTCATTCGCACTATTTGTGGTAATCCTCCACTTACAGCAACCGTCATTGGATCCCTGAAAAGGTTCCTTTACAGCCCTTTTGTCTTTATTCATGGCTCCTCTATACAGCTGATTGACGGAGCAAGGATTGCTGCGTGCCTCATTTCTGTGACAAGAGCTTCGACATTAGATTTAAGGGCTTAGGGCCCATGTGGGAGTTTCCCAAAGTAGGGGACCCTAATTATAGTACCCTAAATAGTAGGGTCCTTATTTACCAGGACCCCAAAATACAGTACCCCCAGTTTTCGGAAACTCCCATGTGGGTTGCTGAGACAATGAGTTTCCTTTGGCTCTGGGAGGTTCTAACATAAAAAGGATTAAGGGTGTGTTCCTTACTTCATGGACTTGGGAAGCTACGGGTGATCGTAAACAGTGGCTCCATTTTCAGGGTTTCGGGTTTCAGGATTTGAGTTTTGGGTTGCTGTCCAGGGAATTTAAGGAGATTAGGGTCAAGCTGGGCTTGCGCCAAAGCAGAATCGTAGGGGCGTGGTCCCTGCCCCTCTTCGATTCAAGGCAGTAGTGCGCAATCGTGCCTGGCCTCGGAAGTGTGGTCAGAGAGCTTCCCAGAGAGCCCAATACCCCTTAATTAAGGAATATGGCTTAAATGGTATACGGCTTCATGTTATGATTTAAGCTCTATTCCTTAATTACGGGGTATTGGGCTCTCTGGGTTCGGAAAACGTTTACACAGAGGGTTATAAATAGCTGAGCCACAAGAAGAGTGAAGAGCTTATAGAGGAGGTGTTAGTTGACTGCAGGGAGCATTGCAGTAGAGTGTCGAGTTTGCACTGCAGATTTGCGACCCAAAAGCCGAAACTCGATAATCCCTAAAGATCCTAAATAGCCCTAAACGGTTTAGGGTTTAGAGCTTAGGGTTTAAGGCTTATGTACGGCTCGGAACAGATGGGAGTTTCCGAAAATAGGGGACCCTAATAAAGTACCCTAACTAGTAGGATCCTTATGATAAGGACGCCAAAATAAGGTACCCCCTATTTTCGGAAACCCCCCCACATATCGATGCCGAAGTGCCCGGCTTCAATAGGTGGCGGTCATGCCACGCTGCCCAATATGCCTCGGAGGCTTCGGTCGTCCCTCCTTGACGAGTTCCATGCAGGGTTCTACAAGGGTTCTGTGAAGGTTCTTCGGGGGTGGAAGTAGGGTAGTGTAAGAATACTATAAGTCAGGGTTCTATTTCAGGGTGCGACAAAGCTCTATACGGTACTATATGGAGCTCTAAAACTACAAACTCGCGAATTTACCGTCGAAGCTGTCCTAAAGCCTGAACCTCGCGAGACCCCACATAAAAAATAATCCTTAGGGTAGCGGATACTGTCATCCTCATGTTTGAACAGGCCCAGGCTAACCGCGTAGCAAGACAGCTGGGAGAAGGCACGTCAACCTACTGGCTATGTTTTTGTCGGCTCATGGTTTGATGTTGATGGTTAAGGGCTTCACAGGTTTATGGTTTATGTTCATACCACGCATCCGGACAGCCCCCGAATCTTAAACTGAAGCTCTACTCTCCAGGGGTTTGAGGAGAATGCCCGAAGCCTCAGACGAAACACACCGAGCCGTTCGACATAGACCCCGTAAACATGACCAACACCTCAAACCCTACCCCAAGGGTCCGAAGCACCCGATAATGAGGTACTCGGTCTTAGGATAGTAGTTATGTAGGTTAGGATTTTGGAAAGTATATGATTATTGGGTACTTGGATCCTTGGGGCAATCCAAAACCAAAACCTCAACCCTACAGTTAAGAGCCCTAAACCCAAAGACACCCTACACCCGAAGACTTATGGATGATGATGTCAAGCCTGCATAATTACCTTAATGACCCTAGACTATGGGAATTATGGTATATTCCTTCTCACAGGTAATGCAGGGTTTGTATCATCAGCCGTAGAACTCATCTGAGACCCAGAACCAGTGGCCTTGACCCTAAGCCGAGAGCGAAAATCCAGAGAACGATCCAAAGTCTTGCGCCTAAGCCAAGGCTAGGTTGCTGAGTAGCCCCTCTATTCTAAGGGTACCCTTGTTCCTACTATATTCGGTTTTTGAATAAGTGGGCCCTAAAACCACAAGGGCAAAAGGGTATACTACTCAGGAACCTTCAAGGTCTAACCCCAAACCCTAGACCCCTGAACGCGTACTCAAAACCAAGACACCGAGGCCTGAGCCTACAACACCGAAACACAAAATGCCGCCACAACAAGAACCTCTGAAACGAAAGGCAGACGAGTCGAATCGCTAAAATCTGAACGTTACGGTTTAGGGCTTAGGGTCTAGGGTCTGTCGGTAAGGAAGCCTTACACCTAAAATCAAAATGCCCTGCACACAAACGCCTCAGCCCCCCGCCAAGAAACAACACGAGAAGAAACATCTTAACGCCGAATCCTTCAACCGCCTCAAAACGCCAAAGCCGAAATCCCTAATCCCTCAACCTCTAAACCCCCAACATCAATTCTTACAGAAACCCTCCTATGAGCCCTTAACGATTCCGTTCAGAAACCCTTCTATGAACCCTTGACTCTTTTCAGAAACCCGACCCTGCTATGAGCCCTTGAAGATTCACCCTAAGGGTCCATGTGCCCAAATGGCATATAATTTGGCCCAATGTACTTACAAAGCGAGTACTATTTGGGTGCATGGACTCTTAGGGTAAACCTCAAATCTTACGGCCACCCCTCTACGAGCCATTGAAGATTCCTTTCAGGAACCCACCAGGCCTTGTTTGCTACCGCTGAGGCTGCCTTTTGGGCGCAAGGCGAGCCAACCTCGGCGAGCTGAGCTCATAACATCTGTTGCCCTAAGGGTCCAGGTACCCATTTAGCATATACTTTGGCCTTAGCGTAGTCCCTATGTAGGTACTTTGGGGCCTAAGTATATGCTATTTGGGTACATGGACCCTTAGGGTTGTACTTGTAGTAAGGGCTTAGGGTCGAGGGTTTAGGGTTTAAATAGTTTCGGGGTTTAGGGCTTATAAGCATGACATAAAACAACTATCTTTTGCATGTCCGTACAAACACTGTATACTATACTGTACTATACTATGCTGTATTATAGCAGAATACACAATGTCGCATTATCCTACATATTCTGTAGTTTTGTTCATTGGGATTTGAGTCACGAAAATAATATTATAAAGCCCACTTGCTGAAAGCCCAGACTTTCAAGGGTCCTTCTAGATCCTAATACTTGTAACCCCTATCGTTCTCAAGGTTCGTAGGGTTTGAGGTCTAGGTATAGGGTCCAGGCTCTTACATCGACCCCCCAAAACCGAAACCGTGAATCCCATCTCCGGTGCAAGGCGAGCGACGTCGCTCCTTACCACCTGAGTTGCGGATGCCAGCCTGCATCAGAGTCTTGTACCCTGAAACCCTTAACCCTCCTTGTGCATCCAGTGGATTCGCGCTCTGAAGAGCTTCATTCAATTTGTGGGGCTTTTAGCTTTGGGAGTTGGGCTCTCGGTTGGGGGTTCATGACCTCGGGAGCTTGCAGACTAGCTGTACCCCACAGTCGAAAAATCGAGGTACCGACTACAGAAGCAGGCTAGATGCTCTGGTCATATGTCAAAGGTAGAATTAAGACATGGCAGGTATCTCATCATTCCTGATCGGCAATGTCGCTCAAGCAACTGGTTGCACCCAAACTTCGACACCTATAGGCCCTGAACCAGGCGTGAAAAAAACAGAAATCTCGAATCATCCCACAAACAACCTTCAGAAATGCTTCATAGCCGCGGTATAACCTGTAGGAAAGTTTCAACAAGACATGCGCAACTAGTAGTTTCGACACCTAGCTGGTACTGGGATCCTTTATCTAAGGCCCCCCCTTTTGAAGACATCCCCGTATTCCTTTGTGGTACCAGCCCAAAGGGTCCAAGTAATAGTCCCATGAGGGCCCAAATACCTACTAAGTACCTACTATATTGGTACTTGGACCCCTCGGGCAAAAGTCCTGAAGCCCTAAAACCCTGGAGACCCTACCGTCTAACACTGTATAACCCCCTTCTGAAACCCTGCAGCCCCGAAGGAATATAATGTAGGGATTTGTTAGGCTGGAGTTGTTGAATCTGCTTGTGTAAAGTTGCCTTACGAATGGCTTTACACGAAACTCTAGCAGCATTGGCAGGTTGCTCATGCTCGCAGCCCTCATAAATCCTTATGGAACTCCTGTAGAACCCTCATGGCCATCTTCTATCCCCTTTTTTAGAACCCCTCTAGAGCCCTTCCTGGAATCACCCTAAGGGTCCAACTACCCAAATAGTATATACTTTGGCCCCAATGTACCTACATAGGGACTAGTTTAAGGCCAATGTATATACTGTTCAGGTACATGGACCCTTAAACCCTAAACCCTTATAGGAACCCTTATAGAACCCCTTATAGGAACCCTTAAAGGAACCCTATTATACTGTTTAGGTACATGGACCCTTAGGGTCATATTGACATCGTAGAGTATGAATCCTGAACCCCAAATCCCCAGACCCTGGGCCCCTGAACCCCAAATCCCCATAATCTCTCATGACTCATATCTGGTGAATTAAGTAGTGGTGATTCGGCGCTAATGGAATGATCATGCAAGAGCCACGGTCGAAAGTGCACGAACCGAAGATGTGGAATCCTGAATCCAAGGGTAAAAGGAGGGACCCTTAATAAGGACCTCTAGGTATATACCCTTAATGTAGCAATTATATACCCATTATATAGCCCATGATAGCGTAGGGGTCCCCATTAAGGGTCCCTCCTTTTCCCCATTGATATACATTTTGAAACACAAACCATCCTAAACCCCTTGACCCGAAAGCCTGAAGCCCTAACCTTCGCGCCGAACCCTTCGTGCCCTAAACCCTAAACCCTAGACCCTAAACCCCTAAACCCTAAGCCCCCAAAACCCTAAACCCCTAAAACCCTAAACCGTTTTTAATTCCTCGCCTTGGCCGTGCATCGCTCCCGGTGCTCGGATCTCAATGTCGGCCTCGGAACAGCGCTTTCTCATAGTATATATGGGTAGTTGTCAAAATGATGATCCCTTTTTGGGTCCCTATTATAATGCGGCACCTAATATTTAGGGTACCAAAAAAGGGACCCTAATTTTGACAACCGCCCATATAGCTAGCGTAGGGTCCTAAGATAGGGTCCTATAAATGGGGATTTAGGGTCGGAAGTTTAGGTATTAGGGATAATCGTCATAGTAGCTACCCGTAGGCCCCACAGTAGTTCCTTTTTGGGAGTACCTTGTAGGATTCTAAGCAGGAGCCCCAAAAAGGAACGACTATGGGGCCTATAGTTCTCTGAATTGGGGTCCCTTGTAGGGTCCTGATTCAAGGGTGCCGTACTACTCCTACTCCTGCTCCTGCTCCTACTCGTCCTACTCCTACTCCTCCTCCTCCGCCTCCTGCTACTCTTCCTACCCTTCCACTACTCCCATTACTCTTCCTACCACCACTGCGCATACCCTGAACCCCAAACCCTAAATCCTAAACCCTGAACCCTAAAACCTAACCCTGCTCCATCTCCACCTCCTACCCTAAACCCACTCTGTGCAGCCCAAGCGCTTCCTTGCCGGCCTCCTCTCCCCCAAAGAGAGAGCTTTAAAAAGGGCTCTCGGTGTAGGGTTCTTACTAAAGTAGGATTTGAGGGTTATTAAGGTTTCGGGTCTCGGTGTAAACTTTCTACTACATTGGGGCTTAAGGATCATTAAGGTTTAGGGTCGGCCTTTGGGGCTTAGGGTGTAAAGTTGGGGGTTTTAGGGTCCAGGGTTTTAGGTTAAGGGTTCTAGAGTTTTGGGTTATTACAGCTTCTCTTTGCAGGATCTATGAACAAGGTTCCACAGAAGTTGCCGGGTTCGGGACTCAGGGTTTTGGGTTCAAGGGTTTAGGGTTTAGGGATTTAGGGTTTAGGGTCTATAAAGTTTAGGGGTTTAGGGATTTAGGCATTGGTTTAGGGTTTAGGGGTTTAGGGTTTGGGCCCGGGGTTGGGATCTCGGGCTTGAGCATTGCGCTTGGGATTTGGCGGTTTAGGGTGAAACGCTTAGACGAAGTAGTGTGATTGTTGACGTGTTGCGGTGAGTGTACATATCTATAGGGCTCATCTTACTGTGTGTATACTTCTGGTGTATATCAATGGTAGATAGTGATAGTAATGAAGAGTACGAATGAGTCTGTATGAAGCAATCTTATAGGGTTGGCGTGAGATGAGAATGCGGGGTTCCAGCCCAATTTCCATGGACTGAAGGTCCAGCGGCATCGGTTGACGTAGCCACGTACGGAATACCCCATCCGCATGGAGGCATCTTCCCACTTCCCCAAAGGGTCCTATATGTCCCGATATAGTAGAAGTAGGGTTTCCATATATTAGGAATTACTATTATTACTTAGGCAAATATCCGCCATAACGCAGTTCACACGTGAGAGCGGAGTAGTCCGAATTGCTGTCCGCTCGCAGACGGTGCTCCCACCGAGAAAAGGACGTTAAGTCGCTTTGCGCCATCTGATGCCTGGAGCGGGTCTACCATTCTCCTAGGCTGACGTCAGGGTCTAGAGGGAGTTGTATGCGTAGGGTTATGTCAGGGTGTCTAGGCAAGGATCTAACAAGGTGGCTGAAAGCACAGTCAGGCAACCTAAATCACGCGCTAAACTCCATTCGCTCTGCAATCCGTCGCTTCAACAAACGTCCACCCATCGACCACGACCACTCGCTATCGCAGCGAAGTCTTCCACGAACCCAGAATGTACAAACCAACAAGCCAAATCCTAATCCGAAAAACCCAAGCCCCAAAGCCAAACAAAAGAACCAAACCCGTGTGACCCCGGCTGCGGTCCTTCGGCCGCCACTTTCCAGGCGCCTTGTTATAGGTCCTGCTCTTTCCCTTCGAGTGAGTCGCAGAATGCCTGTCTTCAGCGGTCGAGAGGGTCTAAGGCTTGTGGATGTTGGTCTGATTAGCTTGCCGGGAACCGGAATCATATCTGGTTAGTTAAGTAGTGGCCCTGCGGCGCTATAAGAATGAACATGCAACAGCCACGGTCGAAAGTGCAAGAACCGAAGATGCGCAAGGGTAAAAGGAGGGACCCTGAATAAGGACCCCTAGGTATATACCCTTAATATAGCTATTATATACCCATTGTATAGCCCACTATAGGGTAGGGGTTCCCATTAAGGGTCCCTCCTTTTGCCCTTTGACTGAATGCAACTTCACAGCCCCAACACCCTGCGTCCGAAGATTCGAAACCCAAGAACCCGAAGCCGCTCGAGGTTTAAACATTTAGGGTTGGGCTACCCATATATTCCATAGTACCTATATTCTCCATTGTAGTTCTTTTTTTGGTTAACGAACTTTATGGTTAGGATCCTAAAATAGAGAACTACAATGGAGACTATAGGTAGTTCCTTTTGGGGGTTCATGTTTAGAACCCCATAGGGTAATCCCAAACAGGAACTACTATGGGGCCTATGGGTAAAGTCCAGGGCTTAGGGTTCAGTGCTTAGGGAGGAACAAGATGGGTTTCACCAGAAGCCTCCTGACCTTGAATCACCCCACCCTCCATCCTAAAACGCTGAGCCGTGAAACTCAGAGTTGTTGACGCTTGAACCTTTACCCACGGAACTAGACAAACCGTGGGTTTAACCCTAAACACTCAACCCTAAACTCACTATGAGGGACTGCAGCGACAATGGAATGCCTCTGGGTTTATGGTGTCGGGGGCTCTGCTAGATGAAGAAGCCCTACACAGAACCATCATAACTCGAACTTGGAACGCAGGTTAGAAAGAAACCTACTACCTGGCTTAGAACCCTTGTAAACGACCCTCGGCCAAACACTCGCTGCAGAAACGAATCCCTAATCCCTAAACCCTACCTTCACCCTGCATAACCTGGGTTCCTTATTATGATTTCCGTATATGAGTCCCTAAAACGGTAGGTCATTCCGGGCCAAGGTCATCCCTAAACCCTACCTGTAGCCGGAAAGACCTACCTTTCTAGGGTTCCTTATTATGGTTTCTATATATAGTTCCTTAAAACGGTAGGTCCTTTCGGCTACAGGTAAACCCCACACCCCGGGTTAAGGTAATCCCTAAACCCTAAACCCTAATCCCTACACCCTGAACCCTAAACGCTGATCCCTGAACCCTAATCCCGAAACCCTATAATCCCTAAACCCTGATCCCTAAACCCTAAACCCGAAACCCTATAATCCCTAAACCCTGATCCCTAAACCCTAAACCCCACACCCCAAAAGCAATGGCTCTGGGCCTTTCTTGCTGCTCTTGTTCAGACTGCTCCGTCTCAGACTCTCTCGGTGTTGGCCTTGATCATCACTTAGGCTAACAAGGATATATGGCAAAAGCCCAAAAGTTGGAAACCCCATAGCCTCAATCCTTAAGAGTAATGTAGAGGGAATCCGGGCACTATTTGGCCTTAATCCGGTTTCCAACTTTATGGGGTTTACTGTATACGGGAGTTTCCGGAAATAGGGGACCCTAATACAGTGCCGTCAATAGCCGGATCCTTATGCAAAAAGGTCCCCAAATAAGGTACCCCTATTTTTCGGAATTAAGGTTCCTTTTTGGGTATCCTAAACATTAGGTGCCGTACTCCACCAGCGACCCAAAGAGGGGCCGTAGTTTTGACAGCCACCCATAAATGTAACATCTGCAGAGTGTATATGCGTTTGCATTTGTTGCTTGTAGGTCTGTCTTATTTAACGGTATTTATGTGTTTTCTTGTTACCTGATCGGTGTTCGTCTCAACTGTCTGTTTCAAAAACAGCTGCAACTAATATATCTGCTTTGCAGCTGTGTTGAATGCCGTTTCAGCATGCGGAAACAGGGTTTAGGGCCTTGTTATCGGGCCCTCAAAAACCATCCTCACAAGATTCGAGGGGGAAGATCACGGTATAGCGATGTAGGGGCTACATGGAGTGGCTCAAAAAAGTGCTCCCTAAACCCTTAAAGCTTTTCCCGTCGGATATGTTGCTACTGAGAGCTAAATCCTCCTTCTCGGGATTCGCTGGCTTGCTGGAGCGCTGTTTGCACGCGTGATGTGTGCTTGGCTCGTGGACAGTTTCGATTTCGAGCAACCTGTCGGAGTTCACTAGATCCCACCTCTGGGTTATATCTTGGCCATGCGCTAGGAAGCCCCGAACCCTTGTGCTTAAACAAAACGCACAATGGAAGGCTAATGTAGGTTAAGATGAAGCATACGGGTCGAGTGTGTTGAAATTGCACCAACCAATTACAAGTCCCACTTGATGCCCCGCATGGCGCCACAAGCTATCACAAAAAAGAGGCAGATGGCAAACTTGTGGGTAAATAGCTTTTCGGCCAGGGCGGTTAGGGTGAATCCAAAGCATCATAATGAGAGTGTCCCAAAACACTACACTTGCTAACCGCCTTCCCACAATTAACCCTCAATCCTAAATCCTCAACCAACCCCTAAACCCCTAACCTCTAAACCCCTAAACTCTAAACCCCTTAACCTCTAAACCCCTAAACCCTAAACCCCTAAACCCCAAACCCCTAACCTCTAAATCCCTAAACCGCAGCATGCTAAAGATCTGGGAACCACACCCTGCGCTGGTGTCAATGTCGGCAGCCTCCTCGCAACATTTGGGCTTCCGAAAATGAGGGACCCTAATATAGTACCCTACATATTAGGATCCTTATTATGAGGCCTAATTTTCCGAAAATAAGGGACTAGCCGAAATAGTAGGAGCCTTATTGTAAGGACCCCAATATAAGGTACCTACCCCTAATCTTCGGAAACTCCCACATCTGTGAGGGAGAGAAGACGCAAGTTGACAGCCCTTGGGCTCCAACTGCTTCATCCCAAACTCTAAACCCTAAACCCAAACCCACAACCCCGACTTAGAGGCCCAGGGGACTTAGTAAGTAGGTTGTAAGAAGGGTTATAAGTACCGTAAATGGAGCGACCCCAATTATAACCCTACTTATAACCGACATACTAAGTCCCCTGGGCCTCTAAGTAAACCCCTCAACCCCAAACCCTAACCCGCGTAACCCAAATAATGGGCTGCTGGGCTAGATGATCACTCTATGCCCAAGCCAGACGCTGAGATGCTGTTTGCAAGCTCGAAACCTGTTCCCGGTCCAGGTATGTCGTGGATTAGTTGCTGTGTCTGTCCTTGCCCTGTACATTGGCCCCTACACAACCATCCAGATATAAGTGTAGTAGTCATAACAAGCAGGACTGCAGAGTGTCGGTTGAATTAGAATGTTAAGATTCGATCTTGCGCGGAATACCCTGAACCCTCATCTCAAAACTCTAAGCCTAAGCCCTGCCCTTTATGATTTTCGGGTCTCTCAGAGACACGCCCCAAGCGGGTTCGGCTCCTGTGTGGCTTTGCCGTCCTTGCCTGCGGGATGCATGTTCGTAGGAGGAGCTTCGGCTTAAGGGCTGAGAGGATTTTAGGGTTTAGGGGTTAGGGTTTAGGGCTTAATTAGGTTTCAGGGCTGAGGGTTTAGGATGCATTTCGTAGGGCTTTTACGGTTTTGGAAGTTCCTTGAAGGATCTCTAGAAGGGCTCTGTAAGGGTGTAATAACGCTTCCATTACGGATCGTTTGGTTTCAGAAAAGTAGTCTGCACGTCCGGGATTTCTTGCCATAAGGTTCTTAGTAGGTATGCCGGTCGTGCAAACATACGCTATATTGGTTCTGGCCCTACTTTGTACTGAACCTGAATGCCTGAACCAAGCCTTTGTGATTTCACTATTACTCGTAAGTAAAGTTGCACGATGTTCATCCAACGCTCCAGTCAGAAATTGGATACCCCACCTCACTTAATAACTGTTGACTGATTCCAACTCTCCGGCTACTACCATCCAACCCCGCAAACCCTGAACTCCCTAAACCCCTAAACCCAAGCCCTATATTAATACAGGATTTTTGATCAAGGCGATTTGAACTTCCCATGCCCTACTTACTTCGCTAGAACACTCAAACCCAGATCGTCTCAACCCTAAAAAACGTAGCCTCTAAGCCTGAACCCCTAAACGAAGTGAGCGAATCACTCAGAAAAGGTTCTAACCCTAAACCCCAAACTCCTAAACCCCTGATCTTACCGTCTAAACCCCAAACTCCTAAACCCCTGATCTTACACTAGTTCCTTTTTGGGGCTCATTGTTTAGAATTCTACAAGGTAGTCCCAAAAAGGAACTGCTATGGGGCCTATGGGTACCATCCAAAGACTCGCAACCACATCTCAGAAAGCTCCAACAACACATACACCCCTCTTGGGATTTCGGTGAAGAACTGGATCCCTAAACCCTAAACCCTGAACCCTGAACCCTAAACCCTCAACCCTCAACCCTAAACCCTAAACCCCTCCTGGGATCTCGGTGAAGAACTGGAGCCCTAAACCCTAAATCCTAAACCCTGAACCCTAAACCCCAAACCCTAAACCCTCAACCCTGAACCCTAAACCCTAAACCCCTCCTGGGATTTCGGTGAAGAACTGGAGCCCTAAACCCTAAACCCTGAAACCTAAACCCTAAACGCTACACCCCTCCTGGGATTTCGGTGAAGAACTGGAGCTCTTCCGGCTTTTCCAAGCCCGGGGGCGGCTGGAATTTAAATTCCTCAGGCCAGCTTCGATGTGGGGAGGGCGAGTTTTAGTTATATGAGGGAGGACCTCAATTAGACTACGGGATATAAATAATAGGGTGTCGGGTATAAAATTCTACAGTCAGGCCAGCTTCGATGTGGGGAGGGCCGAATATACCTATAGTCTCCATTGTAGTTCCTGTTTTTGGAAAACCCAATTATATATTAAGGATCCGAAAAGGTAACCCCAAAAAGGAACTACAATCGAGACTATAGGTAGGGGCCTTAATAATTAGAATAGGGCTCCTTTAAGGGTCCTTTAAAGGGGTCTATAGGATTCTATGATAGACGTGCCGTAATGATTAGACTAGGGTTTGCGGGCACGTTATACCACAATAATTATAACAAGGAACCCCAAAATAGTAGTGGTAATCATTTAGGCCCCTATGTTGTTCAGGGTTGGGGGTTTTGACTTCGCACATGCGTTATAAAGTAGGGGTATACTTGACAAGCAGAGCTTCACTTACGGCACTCACAGCAGATTTGGCATCCCACTCGCTAAGTCGGGGGTTTGAGGATTGCGGTTTAGTGTTTGTGGGCGTGTTGAGGGTCTCTTCGGCATGCGGCCAGGGTTTCACAGTTGCCGTGCTCTTTTGAAGACAACGAATCTGCAGTAATTAAGTAAGGTCTTACGAATGCAATTCTTTTCCATGCAGGAGTCCTTCAGAAACAGCAAGAAGGGTCTAAACAGGGTGCGCACTAAATCCCAGAGCTCCGAAGCCCCCCAGAGGCTACAGCCCGAGAGTATAGGCTAAGTCCTTCAAACCCAAGCCAAAAACCGTCAAGCCGAGACGCTCGATCAAGGGAACCTTTATCTCGGCTTTGAAGTAACCGGTAAGTAAATTTATGAACGTGTCGTTCTACTGGTTCCTTCGTATTGAACTTCTATGGAACAGGTCCTCAAGAAAGAAATCAAGTCTTGCAGCTCCTCAGAACCCCTTGAAACTGAAAAGTGCCAACTTGCCAGGTGGCTGCCATGACACATTCTACATGGTCGAAATGAGGCAGGTAGTAGCCCTGAGCGCGGAGCCGAAGGCCCTACACCTCGGGCCCCAAAGCCCTAAAGCCCTGTAAACCTTAAACCCTACCAGGACCCCCCAATGGCCCTTTAATGGAGCCCTAATGGCCCTTAATAGTAGGTATTTGGGGTTTATTAGAGGGTAGTTGGGGGGTCTAGGTAAACCCCTAAACCTTAAACTTGAAACCAAAACGGCTGATGAGGGTTTTACAAAGCCGGGGTTATTTGGTTTTGCAGCGTCGAGGTTTCCAATTTGCGGATTCTCTAAGAGTTCTAGTACGACGACTACAGCCCTGCACCCTCTAAGCCCTACTTTTCAGGGACGTATATGGGTAGGTGTCAAAATGATGGTCCCTTTTTGGGTACAGCAAGTACCCTAAATATTCGGTGCCGCATTATAATCGGGACCCAAAAAGGGACCCTAATTTTGACAACCACCCATATAAGGAAGGACATCATAACAGGGAAGCCTGAAGAGGAGCTAGGGGTGGTTTAGGGTTTAGGGTTTAGGGTTTAGGGCACAGCCTTAAGTCTTACAAGCCCTAGCGTGAAAACAGTCAGGGTTTAGGGCTTGCTAAAGGGACTCTTGGTAAGAATAAACCCTGTGCCCGGCCAGGGTGGTCAGAGCTTACCGGGTTTTGGACTCAAAATTCATACCCTACGGCTCAAAATGGCCGAAAAAGCCTTGTATAATATGGTCTTTAGGCCCAAAAAGCCTTAAACTATGAGTCCTTCGAGCCTTAGGGATAGGGTCGAGGATTTAGGGCGCAGGGGGTTCAGGGTTGAGGGTGTGAAACCTGAACCCTAAACAGAAACAGGGCAAGCATGTATACCTAGTTCACACCAAAGGGCGAGGGCCCTCCAAGGCGGCAGAGACAATGCAAACCCTAAAACACCAAGCCCCCAAACCCCCTAAAACCCTATATAAGCCTTAAAACCCTGAACCCCTGAAAACTAAACCCAAAACCCTATATAAGCCTTAAAACCCTGAACCCCTGTAAACTAAACCCTAAAACCCTATATAAGCCTTAAAACCCTGAATCCCTAAAAACTAGACCCCAAACCTTCACCCTGACCCCCAAAGTATGTAGAATAGTACCCTTTAATGGGCATTGGGCCATTATCTTCCCTGCTTGAAGCCTTCCTAAACCCTAAACCCCTAAACCCAAAACCCTGAACCCCTAAAATCTAAACCCCAAACCTCCAAACCTTTAAGCCCTGAACCGTCGAGCTGCGGGGTACCTAAGTAGGGCATGAGGATAGAAACTTGCTGCTGCACAAGCAGCAAAAATGCTATATGGGCGGTTGTCAAAATTATGGTCCATTTTTTGGGCACCCTAAATATTAGGTGCCGTATTATAACAGGAACCCAAGAAGGGACCCTAATTTTGATAACCACCTATATGGATAACTATAGGGGCCGTACGAACCAGAATAAGGCTTGTGGGTTACATTATACTATATTCATAACAAGGAACCACCAAAACAGTATGGGTAATTTTGTAGGCCCCTATATATTAGTTCTCTAAATCAAGGTCCCTGTTGGGGTCCTCGGTATACTGGGAACTAAGCGGGACCCTAATGTAGAGAATCACCTATATACCTCCGAGAACTAATAAAGTCCTTCAACAAAAAACAGCAGATCCCAGACTGAAAGGATCCCGTTCCAGGCAAGACGGTCGTGCTGTTGCTTCCGGGTTACAGAACTCAACCTGAAGCCCTATACTCTAAGCCCAAACCCTAAACCGTAAACCGTAAACTCGTAAACCACAAACCCAAACCCTCAACCCTAACCCTTCAACTGGAACCCCTAAGCCCTGAACGAGGCCCTGCACCCCTAAACTCTCACCCCCCCCGCCCCCAAACAAGACCAATTAGACAAATAACACCAAACTCCGCTCCCTGAAGCAGAATGCCGAGCCTTAATCTCAGAGGCCTGGACGGGTGCAACCTCCCAGGCACGGGCTCTAGGATTTCGGGTCTAGGGGTGAGGGTTAGGATTCAGAGTGTAGGGCTTGACTTGTTATGGTTTAGGGTTTCAGGGCTTGGGGTCTAGGGGAGTATCATGTTCAAGCTTCGGGGCTCGCTCAAGGCTTATTTAGGTGCTTCGGTTGATGATATCAATCCTGCATGACCCCTAACAAGGAGTATACCATAATTCCCATAGTTTAGGGTGCTTAAGGTAATGCAGGATTTATATCATCAACCGTTCCGGTTTCAGGTGGATTGGAGGTTTGGCATTGAGAGCCTTGAGATGAGCTCAATGGGTTAAAGAACTAGGTTTTTGGGTTGGAGAGGCACACCCATAGGCCCCATAGTAGTTCCTTTCGGATTACCTTATAGAATTCTAAATATGACCCCCCAAAAAAGGAACTACTTACCACTTTGAGGCCTATGGGCGGAGTCTAGCATGATATTCCCTCAGAGGGATCCGGTGCTTTATGGGCCGTGGCTTCGGTTTTGGTGCATGAGGCCTTCGGGTTCGGGGGTCTAGGGCTCGAGGATTTAGGGCTCAGTTTGGGGAGGGTTACCCTAAGACTCCGAAAAGCCCAAAGTAGGTACCTTTTATAGACTTTGGACCACAAAGTAGGTACTGTTTGTATACTTGGAGTCTTAGGGTTAGGGCTGCGAGCTTAAGGGTTGGCTGTGCGATGCAAGCCACTCGACAAAAACTGTATGGCGCTTTGTCGGGAATGGGGGAATGGATCCCTGTAGTAGTCCCCCTAAAATCCCCAATAGTAGTCCCAATAACCCATTCCCCCATTCCCTAGTAAGCACCAGACAGTCGACAGGATGTACAGGTCCGGACAGGAGCGCACACCCTTCAGTCAGTAATGCCATGGTGGCGTGGTTTAGGGTTTAGGGTCTACCTACATCCTGGACTGTAACACCTGCTCTTGGATCACCTGCTTTCATGGCAAGAGTACTAAGAGCAACATTATAGCTAGGAGAAATACCAAGCAAGGATACTGTCTGTCAGGGTTTAGGTGAACCCTATAAGCCTTAAACTCTCATAGCAAAGCTAAAGCCCACCCTGCCTTCGTCTCCTCACGCACATCGACTGCTTCCCTCAGCCATCTTCTCAAACACCCACACATCCCTTTAACAAAAGCCACTTATCAGGATTCTCGGGTATGTATATATATATATATATATATATATATGGACATACATATACATATATATATATACATATGTATCTAACCTTATATATATATATATATATATATATGTATGCATGCATGCATGCATGGATGGATGGATGGATGGATGGATGGATGCATGTGTTATATTCCCCGTAAACCGCAAGCCCAAACCCAAGGGTTCGAGCCCCGAGGGCCCTTTAAGAGACTCCTTGTGACCTCAATAGTGGGTGTTCGGGGTATATTAGGGGGCAGTTTCGGAATCTAAACATAATATAGTGTGTACTTCTGGGGGGCCCACAAAACGCTAAACCCACCCTACCGCCTAACCCTACACTGAACCCCTAAACTCTTGCGGTGGGGTAATATAAGGGTCTTGATAATTAGAATAAGGTTTTTTTTGGGGGGGCATGGCTTCAGCATCATCGCAACAAGCAGCTCTACGGAGTAGTCTTCTGACCATTAGGCCCGGCCCTATGTCACTATTTGGGGCTCCGTATTCAAACTGTCGTAGAAGATAAACCGCCCTGTTCGAATAACTAGGGCCCCTGTACTAGTCTGTCCCTAAACTCCAAACACCCCCACATACCCTCTAATATAACCCAAATACCCACCATTAAGGGCCAGAAGGACTCTATTCAAGGGCCCTTGGGGGGTCCTAGTAAACCCTATGCCTAAAACCTAGACCCCTAAACCCCAAACCCTAGAAACCCTAAACTCTAAACCCTGAACCCCAATCCCTAAACGGACACCTTCAGGTCTCTTGCAGCTGAAAGGGGCGGTTCCTCCTCCCGCTCTGCAGGTTGCACGTGGATGGCGGGCGGCTCTTCTGGCCACACATCGCCCTCGTCCTCCTCTGTGGTGGTGGTGGTGGTGGTGGTGGTGGTGGTGGTAGTAGCAGTAGTAGAAGTAGTAGCAGTAGTAATATAAGTAGTAGTAGTAGTCGTCGTAGTGGTAGTGGTAGTGGTAGTGGTAGTGGTAGTGGTAGTGGTAGTGGTAGTGGTAGTGGTAGTGGTAGTGGTAGTGGTAGTGGTAGTGGTAGTGGTAGTGGTAGTGGTAGTGTAGTAGTAGTGTAGTGGTAGTGGTAGTGGTAGTGGTAGTGGTAGTGGTAGTGGTAGTGGTAGTGGTAGTGGTAGTGGTAGTGGTAGTGGTAGTGGTAGTAGTAGTAGTAGTAGTAGTAGTAGTAGCAGTAGTAGTAGTAGTAGTAGTAGTAGTAGCAGTAGTAGTAGTAGCAGTAGCAGTAGCAGTAGCAGTAGCAGTAGCAGTAGCAGTAGTAGTCGTAGTGGCAGGAGTAGTAGTGGTAGTAGCAGCAGTAGCAGTAGCAGTAGCAGTAGCAGCAGTAGTAGCAGTAGTAGCAGTAGCAGCAGTAGTAGCAGTAGTAGCAGTAGTATCAGTAGTGGTAGGGGTAGTAGCAGTAGTAGCAGTAGTAGTAGAAGGAGCAGTAGCAGCAGCATCAGCAGGAGGCAGTGGGGTTCAGAGGCTGGGCTTGCAACCTTTCGGGCTGCAGGGAGTTTTCCTTCGAAACTCTGGGCCCTTCAGGGCTTGGGTTTAGAGTTTAGGGGTTAAGGGTTTGTGTGCGCCGGCGACTCCTCAATGCTTCGAAAGGTTTTGGAGAAAAGAGCGGAAGGATAATGAGGGCTTATCGGAATCGCGTGGACAACTTGCTTACTCAATCGTTCAAACGAACCAAAAAACACACAGTATAGACTCTAACACAGACCTAAAAACCAATACATAAAACTGAGCTCCATAAAGAAATCCGAGCCGCCTCCTCGTGCCACTCCTCCTCGGCCCAGTTCTCCGCAGGCCAGTACTCTTCATAGTCTTCAGCGCGGTGCCACTCGAATCCCTTGGCAACTGTTTAGCTTGCACATCTCGTTATCACAAGGACCCTCAGGGTGATAAAGGGGAGGGGAGAGCAGGGCCCACAAAACCCAAGTAAGCACCTGTGAAGGGCTTAGGGCTTAGTAAGGCCTGTGTAAGTAAATATCATCCCCTCTCCCCCTCCTCCCTGTCAATACATTCAGACTCTACGCTTGCGGTTTGGGGTTCACGAGAGACAAGGTTGAAGGTTCAAGGGCCCTAAACCCTAAACCCTAAACCCCAAAACCCTAAACCCTAAACCCCAAAACCCTAAAACCTAAACCCCAAAACCCTAAACCCTAAACCCTAAGGTTCAGGGCTTTAAGGCCTAGGCCTCAGGGCTCCCAACTTGAAATTTCAGGGTTGGACAGTGTTGCGAGGGCAAAAAACCCGAATCCCAAAGACCATCGTGCCTAAACACCCTCAGAGAAGCCCTGATGAAGCCGTAATATCAAGTCTGAGCCCGGTACAGTCATACCTGTTCTTGGTAGGATTCGTTCCCAGAACTGGAAACCCTGAGCGCCCAATCCCTGAAGCCTACAGGATTACGTGGATGTCCGGCTCAGAACATACGCCCTGAGACCTAAACGCCAACCCCTTGCGGAGCCCTTGCGACTACCTTGACTTTGAAAAGAACATATCGATTATAGAACCCTAAAAGAACCCAGAACCTCTATACAGCCCATGTACAAACTCTATAGAACCTTTGCAGAAGGCCCTTGAACCCGAAGCCCTGCACCCTCAAGCCTTCGTTACTTAGAGGGTCGGGGGACGTAGTAAGTAGTTATTTCAGGGACTTATAAGTACTATAACACCAATTAAGGTCCCTTTTAGGGTACTTATAAGTCTACTTACTACCTACTTACTAAATCCCCCGACCCTCCAAGTAGAGATACCCGATACACCCGGAAGCCCTGATACGACCCATACAGAACCCATGTTATCGAGCCCTTTCAATCAGTGTTGTTTTATGGGCAGTTGTCAAACTTAGGGCCCCTTTTTGGGTCCTTAATATACTACGGCACCTATTCCCTAGGGTACCCCAAAAGGGACCCCCAATTCTCACAACCACCCATTTTTATAGCTCCACACCTTGCCAGGACCATCCTTTCGCCAGTGGATTACGCCAGTTCTTTGGGCTTCCTCGGGGTCGAAGTAGTAGGTCCAGCTGCCCCACCAGACACTGCAGGGAGGTACGGTTGATGAGATTTTTTGTCGTGGGGTGTGGGAGGGTTGTGGTTTAGAGCTGGGGGCGCGGGGTGGGGGGGTTACGGCAAACAGGAATTTATAAGGGTTCGAGAAAAGAGGGTGAAAGAGTTCTATAGTAGTTCAGGGTTATATTGCGCGTGGGTTCGGGGCTCCGAGGTGTCCAGCTAAGGAGGCAGGACTCGGGTTACACAAGGCTGGTGATGCTAGTCCCCAACACAGACAATGAGGTGAATCACACCCTGCATCCCAAAGGTAACCACGACTCTGTAGGAGCAGGTCGTAACTTGAAGGTTGAGATAACGGCAATGGCCTCATATCACATACCTTTAAATCCGGCTTCGAAGTGGGTTTGGTTTTCCTAGCTGGAGTGGAGACCCAACCGCAAACTCGCCAATGTGCCTGAGGACCCCTCTGTGTGCGCACCATGAATCCTGTGTCATACTGCTGGTGGACAAACAGTTGAATCCGTCCACCGTAAGAAATAGACCACACTTTCTCAAAGTTCAGCTTTCTTCATGAAGGAATGCAAGATTCTGCCTATCGGCATGACATATACGGCTCCACAGGTCCAAAACTGGCCAGCGTTCCACATAAATTACAAAGAACAAAGCATGCGAGGTCCCTCGTTTATCTGCTTAGTTGCTGAGTTCCCAAGCCCCAGAAAGTGTGCACTTTCTGTTTTACAGTGGGTAATGTTATCCCAAAAAGTGTAAAGTGTATGCACTCAGCTACTAGGTCTGTGGGTTTCTGTCTGTGGCGGCCTTTCCGACTCCTCGTCATACCAGATCGTAAACTTCCTGCAGCTTCCCGCATCAGCATTTGATTCAATCGTTTCTGCCCAGAGAGCCCAATACCCCCTAATTAAGGAATATAGCTTATCATAATATGAAGCCCTATATGATTTCAGCCATATTCCTTAATTGAGGGGTATTGGGCTCTCTGGGTGTATGGCTTGCTAGATTCCGGTTGGGTTGACACCGTTGCCGGCAAGATGCGTCGCCGATCGCGGCACTACAAGGACAGCTACTCTAGGTTGAGATTTGGAGTTCTCAAGGTGGTTGCTGTCTGTAGAACGGTTGAGCATGGTTGAGCTTTGGCTTTGCTGTGTTCCAATTGTTTGGGGCGCTGTCACGCTATCTGCACATGTAAGATGACTACTGACTATTGGATTATCACCTCTGCCTGTGTAGAACAACCCGCATTCCCCGTACCGAGAACTCCGCACAAAGGCATGCTCTGCACAACCTTACCGTAATCGAGCACCAAGCCCTTCTGATTGAAACCGCAAGTCCGAAACCCTCAACTCCCTGAGTGAAATCGCAGATGGACATATCAGACAGTCGCTTCAATTTAGTGGAGGTGGTGGCGTTCCGCGGCTTCCGGGTTGAGAGTCAAAGGCTACGGAGAGCCCAATAGAGGGCCTTGACTGGGTGCTTAGAACTCCAAGTTTTTCATTGGGAAGTGGGACGAGGGAATACACACCTGCAAGAAGCCTGGAACTAGGCCTTAATAATTAGATTAAGGTCTTGGGCCTCGGATACACTATACTAAACTTATCATAAGGAACCCCAGAACAGTAGTGGTACATCTTTAAGCCCCTATAGAATCATTTCAACTCTCCCGACTCCTGCCGCCACTAGGCATGTCACTAGATGCTCAAGTGTATACCCTACCTGTAGCCGAAAAGACTTACCTTTTGGGGGCTCCTTATTATGATTTCTATATATATATATATATACATATATAGAGAGTCCATTAAAAAGGTAGGTCCTTTCGGCTACGTACAGGTAAGCCCGAAGCCCCAGTTCTTGAATCTCAAAGGCACTCAGGCAAACTTCCGCATACTCTAGGGCCCTTTCTTTACCCACAAGTCCATAGTCCTATGCCTCCAGACCTTTACTCATCAAGTCCACCAACCCACTACGAAGCTTGAAACGTCCCCCTGTATCAAAAGCAGCAGGGGAAACTCAGAACCAGCTCCAGAGGTCATGCGAGAGCAGTTTGGTAGTTTTCTTAGGGTTTGCTCCTTAACTCCCACCCCGACATTCCAAACAGTTCCTATCAACCCCAAAGTAGGCATTATTGGCAAACTTGAGTTTTAGATAGTCCGGTTTCGGTATGCTGTTCAAGGCCATGATACTCCCAGCCAAGATCAACATGTAGTGCACTAACACCCTCAGTGCGATGGCATGGAATCGTGCCCTGAATCCCGGTCTGATTACGAATCTACCTACTCTCTATTTATTTGTGTATCTGTCCATCTACCCACCTATCCGCGTAATCTTATCTATTCCTGCATCAAGCTGCGTAGAATATGCATCACAGACAAACCTGAGCCCCAAACCGTGGCTCTATGGAGTATAATATGACAGGGACTCCATCCTCGCTTTACCACATGCAAAAACACACACACCAATGCCCAACCAGACACCCTACCTATAGTCTCCATTGTAGTTCCTTTTTTTGTTTAACCAAATATATAATTAGGATCTTATAAGGTAACCCCAAAAAGGAACTACAATGGAGACTACAGGTAGTCCCGAAACCAGACAGATCTTCACTCGCAGGGTGTTTTTCAAAGGTATGGGGCTGGGGTCCTCAACCCTACGCAGAGGCCCCAAAGTAGTTCCTTTTTGGGATTACCTAGTAGGATTCTAAATATGAGCCCCAAAAAGGACCTACTTTAGGGCCTTAGGGTAATCCCAACAAACACGGACTGCTAAAACCTGAATCCAAACTACGTAGAAACAAGCTACGAGGAATGCTAAGAACCAAGATAAAGGCGATGATTCAACATGGTAATTACTACTAGACCCAAGAGTAGCCTAGGAATAAAAAGGGTGCCCTTTTTGGTTTAAAGGGGCTTATAAGGGAACCTGAACCCCCAAAAAAGGGAATGAAGGCCTACTCTAGGTCCGAGACTATGTGGTCACATGCAACCTTTATCTCCAAAGCCTGAATTGAACCCACAACCCTACACCGTCATGAGTTCTACATCCCTTATGGAACCCTTCAAACAAGCCCTCTCTCAACGCCCCAAGGACGAAACCCAGGTGCTTGACTTGCCCGTTTGCTCCAGCGCACTAGATCCCCTCGTAGAACCCTTAAACAAGCTTCTAGGTGGTTGTCAAAATTCTGGTCCCTTTTTGGGCACCCTAAATACTATATTCGGGCCCCCAAAAGAGACCATAAGTTTGACAACCACCCATATCAGGACCAAGGTACTTGACTTGCCCGTCTGCTCCAGCGCACTAGATCCCTCGTAGAACCTTTAAAGAAGCCCTCAAAAGAATCCTATCAGGACCCTAACACCTAGACCCGAATAAGGTCCAAGGTACTTGACTTGCCCGTCTGCTCCAGTGCGCACACAACTCCAGGTACCGCTGTTGGCGTGGGCGGAGTTGATGCAGCTCAGTTCATAGGTCTCTCCCTGGCTCACAGATGTGGGGCTATGGGGTACTATACTGGGGCTGTGGCTTTAGGGACCCTGTACATACTGTTCGGCGGGGATTTGGAGTTACTGAGTTTGCGAGATGTCATGTGGACCGCTGCTTAACAAACACCCCTTCGTTAAAGTCCCCAACAAAAGGATCCCCAGTCATCCCCATCATAATCCTTGTTCAGGGAAAGGGCGTAGTAAATCAGTCTACACTAAAAACAGTCTTGTATAGTCCTACATACATGAAACTTTAATCCTTATTCAGGGGAGGGATGTATTCATCAGGGGTCTGCATTAAACACATTCCCTGATCGTCCCTATTAACAAAAGTGCGCTCTTTTGCAATGGATTAGAAGGGCTATCAAGGGGCATTCATGCGAGGTCCGTCAAGGGATCTCCAACCGTTCTATGCCGACTTAATTCAGGTTTGAGGGCTCTAGGTTATACGGGGTTTACGTTCTGACCCTGAAGCCTAGTAGGGTCACATAAGGCTTCGGGCGGCTCTAGGCCGTCAGCCATGAAATCCGCCTTGGCACCAGTCCACATCCCCGTCCTCAGGCACGGACAGAAGGGCTGCTTTAGCCATGGACATGTTGTTTTCGAGATGGGAAAATTAGCAGTAGTGTGCCCCACTTAGAACCCTTACATGTGCTATTGTACAACACAAAAACCGCTTTTGATGTCGTCAGGCCCCTACGTTACCCATAGAATCCCTACATGTGCTGTTATACAATGCCAAAACCGTGCTAAAATTATTCAGACCCTATATTACCATTAACCCTACGCCAATGCTGAATACAACAGGCTACCAACCCGAAACCGAAACGGCTTAACCAACCTTGTCCTAACAACATGTTGCCATTGGGCCTCATCCATATCCTTCGGGGCCCTTCAACAGAGGGCAAACGTCTTAAAACCAAACCCCTAAAGGCCTAGACCCAGAACCTCCAAACACTACTCACACGCTTCACTGTGCAGAACCCTTCTGAAATCCTCCCTGGCGAAAGATCATATGCTGAAACCTAATAGAACCCCAGACCCAGCGCTACACCCTAAATCCTAAACCCTGGACCCTGAAGCCCCAAACCCTACATCCGAAACTCTCAACCCTAAACCCCGGAGCCCCGAAACCTGAAACCCAGACCCAGGGACAAGATCTCATCGTGGAGTGCCGCCAGTACCCTTTCCGTCTTTGTTTGAGGCCAGTGGGCGGGCACCTTGCTGACTGTGCGGTTTAGGGTTTACCTTAACCCTGAATAACCTACCTTTTTGGGTTCCTTTTTTGAGCCCTTAAAAAGGTAGCCTATTCCGGATTATTAAAGGAGGGCTTAGGGGTTCAGGTTAAGGGTTATGGGGTTTGGGCTTAGGGTTTATAGGGTTCAGGCTTTAGGGATTCAGGTTTAGGGTTTAGGGATTAAGGTTTCTTCACCAAGGATAAAGGCATTGCTTCTAAAAGTGCTTTTTTAAGCAGGCTATCTTGGTGATTGAGGGTTGTCGGTGAGGGCTAGGGGTTATGTTGGTTGTAGAAACCAGACAGCTTGAACTTGAACAATGATTCTCTCTCTAGACCAAGCTGCAGCACAAGCCCTCATACTCCGCACTTGTCGAACTATATAGATGAGTTTATGAAAGATAAAGCTTCGTCGGTGTAGGGGTGTGGGGACCCCGTGTTTCTCTAGCGCAAATTTCACTGTGAAGTTAAGCTCTTCACCAGCGTGGGCATTTTCGGGTCAGCTGCGTTTAGGGCTTAGGTTGGTTGGCTCAAGGACGGCGATATGTTATCTCTGGCCAGGGGACAGAGAGATGCTATCGGAAACCCAAAACCCCAGCACCCTCCATTCCTGCACCCTAACATCCTAATGCGGACACCCCCACAAAAAGAAACTTGCCCAAGAAGGCCTGCACCTTCAATTCAGGTTTTGTAAAGACATATGTGTATAAATGAGTATAAATGTATATACATAGATACATACATACAGACACACAGACAAGCAGGCAGGCAGGCAGACTGACAAACATCCATACATACCTACATACCCACATACGTACATAATTGCGTACATACATACATACATACATACGTACATGCATACATTGGCATGCATACACACATACATACATACACGTACCTACGTACAGTAGCCTACTGTTGGGGTGACGGCGCTCATGGGTGAACGGTCGTTCACTAGAAACAATAAGCAAACTCAGCTTGGGGAGCGCGTTCACATTTTACAGTAAATCCTTCTAACCTGTCGAGCGAAAGATTCGTCGAGCGAAGGATTCGTAAGTTATCAGTTCCCTAAGGGTCTATAGGTACCTAAATATCATATACTCCCCCAGATAGTAACCTAGATAACTACTATCCTAAGCCTAAGTACCTGATTATTATTGGGTCCATTCGACCCTCAGGGAGTTTGGTGTTTACATAGGGTTCAGGGATTCGGTACTAGCAGCTGGGATTTTGACCTGGCTTCAGCCAACTATCATCAAGCAGTCTCAGCAGCTTTTCTGTCAGTGGCCTTGCTTCCAATAGGCGCGTCGTCCCTGGCGGCTGGTCTCTATTTCTAACTCTCCCGTTTGCAAGTCCTACTCTAAACTCTCTGCATTTGGGCGAGTCCGTCAATTCGGCTCCGTGTCTGGATCCCTAAAAGAGCACGTTAATCTGATCCATACGAATACTGTGCTTACCCATAGGCCCCATAGCAGTTCCTTTTTGGGATTAACTACCTTATAGAATTCTAAATATGAACCCCAAAATAAAAAGGAACTGTTATGGGGTCTATTGGTAATGTAACCTAGGGTAGAAGGCACCCGTTTGCGATCCAGCTGTGCCTTTTGCGCCATCGGCTCACGGTGACTGGTGCTGCTGCGGGCATCACCTCGACATTTTACCAGGATTCTCTATCACACCTTCTCTTTGAGGGCTTGGGGTTAAGGATTCCTCATACACGGGTGTAGGGTCCGATTTGAAGGTATTTAGGAATTAAAACCACGTCGTGCCCCACAGAGTGCTACCCCTCGGGGTACAAACGCCCAGTAATCTTACAATTCCCTACATTAAATATCAACGTGCAGCTGCTCCTATCCCAAACTCGAATATCGATGCATTCGATACTTCGGAACATCATAGAAACCTCGCGGGCATAACCCGAGAATTACGCAGCTTCATGAAAGTTAGGCATTCCAGGACTCGGAAATGCCTTAGCTGTCCGGAAACCCCTATGGTGCTCTGCACCGTTTACAACGGCCTAATGCATGTTATTACCCCAAAGGTCCAACGGACCCAATAATCAGGTGCTCGGTTTCAGGATAGTAGTTATGTAGGTTAGGATTCTGGGAGTATATGATTATAAGGAACTTTGACCCTTGGGGTTACAACGGTTCAGCTTTTGGGGCTAAGGTTCAGCTTGCATCTTCGTTCCGGTACATCGCGGCAATGGCGAACTATCCCGGTTCGCGATCACACCGTTGAGTTCAAGGACCCCCTACAAAACCCTGAGATGCTATAAGACCTCATAGAACCACCCGTCCTAAAGCCGCCCAGCAGTTTAGCTCTCTTCTCTAATAACCAGGCCCAAACAAAGTTCAAACTTTTTCAGCTAGACCAAATATATAAAGCCAAAAAGTTTAAAGTTCTCCAGTAGGCTAAGTAAGTTAGATCGTGATGATACAGCTGACCTCGCAGCCTGAACACTGCAGGCCTCAAGTTTACCCGGGTGGAGGGAGGGTTTGAGGTTCAGAAAAGTACATTGTGGAGGCCTGCGTTTTGTGGGTTTAGTCAAAGTAGACGTTCCATAAAACATGTATGATGAAATACGGCGATGACTATCAATCAAGCACACCCAGCAAAACAAGACTGATACTAAAACCGTGATTGGTATATGCATGCAATGAAATGGACTTGACGGCGCAATGTTTTTAAGGGATGCATTAGAAGCTGCCCCCACCCTGTAATAGTGACTATAAGGACTATATAAAAATTATGTTAGGGCCATAATATATTCCTATTATACCACTATTACAGGGTGGGGGCAACTTCTAAGGGATGCAGCCCTCCAGGCTGAGAGCTTGGCTCATATGCCCTCTCCCGGGAGGCGGAGGGGGGGGGGGCAAATCAAAACATGACAAACAAAACCACACATAACTTTGGTTGTGTTTTTGCTTGCCCCCCCCCCTCCGCCTCCCGGGAGAAGGCTTATGAGCCGAGGACACAAATTATAAACTTGCAAAATCCGCTCGAAAATATGCAACATACGCGAAGAACAGGGCCCCAGCATGTACCATTCTCTTGAGGTTCAAGGTTTGGGGCTTAGGGTGTAGCCATCCACAGTCATCCATGCCAAGAGAACTAGACCTAAGAGTAGCCTAGGAATGAAAAGGGTGCCCTTTTTGGGTTAAAGGGGGCTTATAAGGGAACCTAAACCCTAAAAAAGGAAATAATGGCCTACTCTGGGTCCTAGAGAAGGAGAGCTAAGCTTGCAAGCCCATTTCAGCTGTACAGTAAACCCCATAAAGTTGGAAACCGGATTAAGGCCAAATAGCGCTGGGATTCCCTATACATTCCTCTTAAGGATTGAGGCTATGGGGTTTCCAACATTTTGGCTTCTGCTGTAATCATCAACTGGCCCGTCCGGTGTGTGGAGTGACCAGGAGCTGCCAAGCCGAAACCCTTCACCTGCACAACCCGCAATTACCTCAAGTCTAACCGCGCCGAAGCCCCAAGACCTCAAATCCTAAGAGTCGATACCCTCAAAGTGGCCTTTGGATGCCTTATTCCGCAGTTGTAGTACAGACGAAACCTTCTATGGTGCAATCCCATGCCGTATACGTTTTAAACTCTAAGCCCTCTACCCGAAACCTGAACCTCGAAATCCCATGCCCTAAATCCTATGACGAATGTCCTGTGGTCTTGGCTTAAGGCCACCGGCTTTTTAGGGCTCATCCGTTTAAGGGAAGCCCCAAAAGAAGTCAGGGATTAGGGTTCGGGGTTGCAGGGTTTAAGGGTGTAAGGTGGGGCAAGCCGCTTTAGGGTTTGAGGGTTTCTGCTCTTCTTGCGACCCAGGCTGCGACTTTTCGGTATTGCATCCTTCAAAAGGCTACGTTGATAAATACGTATCTGGCTGAGCCGAAAGGTGCACCGATCGAGATTCTCTTCCAGCACGGCTCAGGGGGTCGGGATTAGGGTTTCCAGAGCAAGTTCCCTGACTTCAGAAAACTCCTAAACCCGAAGTCCCTAAACCCCCAAAGCCCCCTGAGCCCTGAGCCCCTAAATCCCTAAACACCAAACCCAGAGGTCAGGGTTTCAGGTCTTCGAACTGTGGGTTTAGAGTGGTGGATTCGAAGGGATTGCGGCTTCTCCTGCATTGTTCGTGTTATTCTAATTACAACCCTACTTCTAACCTTGGGCCGCAAATCAAAAGTATACACTACGTCACTATACTACTACTTGGGATCCTGTGAGGATTGTGAAACACGGTCTGACACAGTCCTCTAGATTCTATACCTGGAAAATATTTTGGTTCGACATCGGGGTTCAATAAACTAAGGATCAAAGGAACCTCCAATAGCCAAAAATGGTCGACCGCACACCAAACTGATTTGGGGGTCCTTGTAATAAGGATCCTAGTATTTAGGGTTTCATATTAGGGTCCCCTATTTTCAGAAACACCAAAGTAACCTCCTGGTTCTTATCGGGGACAGGGGGATCCACCCATTCATTCCCTGTCTCAACGTCTCAAAACCTATGTATAGGGGCCTACTAAAAGTAGGCTCGGGTGGGCTAAGGTACTAATGAAAACAAGAATCTGGGAGATTAACCAGCAGCCTAATATAGAGGCCTTAATCATTAGAATAGGGTTTTGGGCCCCTGTATACCTCCAGGTCCACTTAGAGGCCCAGGTGACCTAGTTAGTAGTCAGGCTCCTTGAATGGCTCCTTAAGAAGGGTTTTTTTTTGTGGGGGGGAGGAGGCGGGGGAGGTTAGGGTTACTTAAAGGTCAGGGGATTTAGTACGTAGGTAAGTCATAAGTAGACGTATAAGTGCCCTGAATGGAGTGACCCCAATCATAACCCTATCTATGACCGACTTACTAGGTCCCCTGGGCCTCCAAGTATGGTTCAGGGATAATGTGGGAACCTGATTAAGAAACCTTGGGCCTTTATTTAGGTTCCTTATATGAATCCTACTATTTGGAGGGTATAGGCCCAGGGGTTTCTTAATCAGGTTCCTACATTATTACATTACGGGTTTAGGGCCGGGTTTGTGGCTGCTGATGGTGGAAGGCCTGGTGCCCAGGTTACCAACCCTAAAGCCATCAGCCCTACACCCGAAACCCTAAAGCCCCTAAACCCCAAGCCCTAAACCCGAGGCCCAAAGCCCTAAGCCCTAAACCGAAAGCCATCAGCCCTACACCCGAAACCCTAAAGCCCCTGAACCCAAAGCCGTAAGCCCGCAATCTCCCGTTCAGCCGATGCTCCGGAAATCCAAAGCGGCCATCCGCCTTGCAGCCAAACTGCGGGGTAAACGTTTAGGGTTTAGGGTTGAGAGGTTTAACGTTTATAGGGCCTACGCTGCTTACTCCCAACACCCTCAACCCTAGATCGGAAGATGCAGTATCCCTTAGCCAAAGGCTCCATGTACGCATATATTATGTAGGGTTAAGAGAGCAACATTGTGTAAAGCAAGTTTATTGATACGCCATACAGCCCAGTCTCGATGCATGAGACAAGCACTTCAAACCACATGAAATCAGAGTCAGTGAAATCAGAGTCAGTCCTAACGTGAACCTGAGAGTGCATTTTCAACACCATAAGTCGCCCTGGTATAGATGTAGACCAGAACTACAAATACGATATGCTAGCCCGAAGGGTCCGCGTACACAAATAGCATATACTTTGGCCTTAAAGTAGTCCCTATGTAGGTACATTGGGCCAATGTAAAAGCTGCTTGGGAACATGGACCTTCAGGGTAAGATCCAACTAGGCTCCTGTATATAATCATCAGGCCATTTTACTTGGTCGGCATCGCTTCTCCCGCAGCCCCACCTCAAACTTATGTACGGAAATCATCATCAACATCATCATCATCATCGTCATCATCTCTCTCTAATCGCAGCGTCCACGAGGCATGCCTTGCGAGGCCAGGAGAAGCCCCATCAGGGAGCCCGGCACTGCCGTAGCAGCGCTATGCAGTTTTTCATACCCAAACTCAAAGGGCACGATCGCTCCGAAGAGCAGCATCGTGTTCGGCACGTGTGCCAGCTAACACAAAAGAAGTGAGTAATGCGTAACCGTACAATTGCAATGTGTGCTTAATCAAGCTGCTCAAGAAAGTCTGGCTGCATCAAAAGTCTTTGGACATCGTTCTCCGTAACGGTTTCGGCCGAAGAGGTCGCATCCAAGTTGTGCTCAGTTGGTATGCCTTGCGCTCCACAGGCTATGGAGGGCGCTGCGGTTTGGTCCGGCATGTCCTCCTCCAGCGTCGTTGACCTCATCACCATCATCATCATCATCATCATCATATGTGTATATACGTATATACATATATATATATATATATATATATATATATGTGTGTGTGTTGTGTATTAGTATATTATACTATATTATATTATATTATATTGCCAACCCTACAAGCCCTTACGGCCCAGGTACTAGTCTAGTTGGACCCTTTGCGAAAGGTAAAGTTGAGGAAAACCCCATTTAAAGGCACATGGGACTTTGTAAGTAAATTTGTAGTTGTGACAACCCTACTTACGCGGCTTATAAACCCGATTCTAACCCTACTTACTAAAGAACCACGAGCTGTTAAGTACACCCAAAACCGATCCCATCGCCATTAAACCCCTCAAGCCATCTTCGCCCCAAATCTACAAATCAGAAAAAGCCGAGAGTTTTGTTGGTGATTAGGGTTTTCGGAAGTCGCAGGCCTAGCAAGCACGTGGTCCCCCAACCTCTCAAGCAGACCCCTGTTGGGACACCGCGGCCCACTTCGAAGGTCGTCCGGACAAACCAGTTCATCTTCGAAGCAAGGGAAGACCAGTAAATCCTGCAGCCGCCCATGCCCTATTTGGAGAATTCGTGAATATTTATTGGCCCCCTGTGCCCTGCCCTGCTGGCCACCGCCTCTGGATCTGGAGGTGCCATGTGAAGAGAGGCGATGCCAAAGCCTCAGAAAACTGCGACAGCATTAACCAAACCCCCTCCTGAACCCTAAATCCTAAACCCTGGCTTCTGGCTTCAGTGTAGGGTTTCGGGAAGCACCGAAGCGCCCATGAATCCAGACACCTTTCAACTGCCTGGGCAACCTTGATGCCTGAACTCTCACAGGGTTGAGGGTGTGGCCCCCAAGCCCTAAACCATACACCCAATGCCTTGGTGTCGCGTCGTGGAGTTCCGGTTTAGGGTTTGGGGTTTGTAGTTTGGGGGTTTAAGGTTTATAGGGCTTAGGGTTGCTAGTTTGGAGCTTTAAGGCTTAGGGTTCAGAGGGATTTAGGGCTTCGGAGAGCTTTGCTCATTCGGGGTTTACGGCTCGGGGTTGAGGGTGTCGCGGGCCGGCCCTAGCAAAGACAATGCTGCGCCAAGATCTCCTAGGAGCATCATTGAACCCAGAGAGCCCAATACCCCTAACTAAGGAACATAGCCTAAATTATGTAGGGCTTCCTGATTTAAGCTATATTCCTTAATTATAAGGGCTATTGGGCTCTCTGGGAACGCATGGTGAAGCTCTTCAAGGAACGCCTCCCTGATGCATATCATGTAAAACCTCACCCAAAGGGTCCAAGGACCAATGCAGTAGGTACTTAGTAAATGTTTGAGCCCCAAAAGTAATCACTATAATTGCTATTACTCGGAACCTTTGGAAAAATATATGAGGCACTGGAAACAAACACTGTACGTGAGCCCGTAAATGTGGTACCCTTTTTTGGGGGTGTACCTTAGTTTCTTAAATATCATCGGACCCTAACCAAAAAGGAAGTCATCAAAACAAGCACTACACTTAAGGGTCTAGGTAATGCTCTTGTTTCAGAACAGCGATACTAAACCCTAAACCCTAAACCCCTATATCCCAAGGCTAAACCCCTAAACATCTAAACCCCTAACCCTAAACCCCTAAACCTCTAAACCCCTAACCCTAAACCCCTAAACCTCTAAACCCCTAACCCTAAACCCCTAAACCTCTAAACCCCTAACCCTAAACCCCTAAACCCCTAAACCCCTAAACCTCTGAACCCTAAATCTCTAGCAATAGGCCGTAACAACGCCGAGACGCCGAGGCGTTCCATGTCCAAGGGTGCAGGCGGCAAGTGCTCCTGGGAAAGGATCTGGCGTGGAATCCCATCTTTAGGGGTTTAGGGTTTAGGGTTTTATAGGGTTTAGGGGTTTAGAGGGTCTAGGGGTTAAGGGTTTAGGGTTAGGGCTTAGGGTTTAATAGGGTTTAAGGTTTTATAGGGTTTAGGGTTTTATAGGGTTTAGGGTTTTACCGGGTTTAGGGTTTTATACCCCCAAGGGTCCGAAGGACCCAATAATTAAGTACTCGGTTTTAGGATAGTAGTTATGTAGGTTAGAATTTTGGAGAGTATATGATTCTGAGGTACTTGGACCCTTGGGGCATAGGGACTATAGGGCTCAGGGCACATAGGGCTTGTCGAGCTTATAGGTTTAGGGCATATAGGTCCTATGGGGCCTATAGGGTTTAGGGCATATGCGGCTTATAGGGTTTAGGGCATATACGGCTTATAGGGTTTATGGCATATAGGGCTTATAGGGTTTGGCGGTTTTGGTTGATAATGTTGGTGGCAAAGTTTCGGGGGTTAGGGTTTAGAGTGTCTAGTTCAGCGTTCCGGGTCAAATCTTCCAAATTGGCGGCAAGGGTTTGCTTGGCCACCCCCCTCTCCGACAGAAAATTCAACATGCCGCTTTAATGACATGACAAAGGAAATCGTGATGACGAACCCCGGCTGACACTGTAGATTTACTGGGGTTTGGGTCAGGCTTCCGGGTTAAGGATTTGGGGTTGAGGGTTGTAAAACCGTTCGATAGGATCTATGAGCCCATCGCACAGGATCCAAGTACCAATGTAGTGGG